GCTCTTCCGATCTACCTATATATTCTTAGAATATTGCTGTTATAAATTCTACGTATGACAATTTTTTAGCAGATACAAAAAACAGCGATATAATTTAAGTGTAATATTTAAAATTCTAGCTGAAACAGCGAAACAATTCCCTGAGTGTACAAGATTATTAGCTTAAGGTTTAACTTTTCAAGCTTGGAACGAGACGAGATTGTTTTACAGAAAACAAGCCTTACGCTAGTAAACAAGCGTTTTAGTTTTGGAATTATTCGTTTTTCATATTGAAATAGAGAAACTGAAAGAGAATATTTTGATTAACAATTAAAAAATCCAGTTATATGATTAAAATCAAACAGAATCAAATTTATGCTCCATTAATGTACAAGTAGTCATGTTGATGTGTTGCTGACGTTCCAAATATTGCGGAAATAAATCATCTGCGCGCTACGCCGGGTCAAGTATCTCATTAGAGTTGCAACTGAACCATTCAAACGTTTCGTGCGGCTTTAAAGTCTAAGGCTGACTCGCACTCAACTTGGCGTATCTCATTCACACGCGACCTAGATGCTTTTCGCAAAATGTAAATACAACATTGGTGAATGAATGACAAAGTAAGAATGACTTAAAGTGATCTAATTATTATTAAAGTACTCTCTCTTTTTTTTTAGAGTTCTTTTCCATTCCTTTTTTACATTGCTTTTTGATCTTTCATTATTTGAGACAGCAAACGAATGAGAAAAGAATCATACATGATTCAAAAGTCCTTTCATTTCCAGTACATACTTTTTATTTTCTTTTTCATTGAGTTATACATTTTTCAATGTGCACAGGTTTATAATGCCTTTAATTAAGAAATACGGAAGCGCAGAAGGAAAGATGTGAATAATTTATGTTTATTTCATTTAATTTACAAATAATTTATACAATTTACTTGTTAATGAAAAATTTATCGAAGTATTTTTACCAGAATCTTTATGAATCAATATAGACATTTGCTGCATCGGAAATTAATTAACGGAAATTGAAGAAAATTTATATTTGACAGTTGTCTAAAAATATATTACATCGTGTAAAAGTTGTTTGATCTTTTTTCAATGCTGAAAGGGTTAAAAAAAGGAAGTAGGTGATCCATTTGTGTATCTTCACGTATACCTCTTTACCTTCACATGTAAATTCGGATTATAGCGGCACTCCATACACGGTGACCGGTTATGTCGTTGGCAGCTCGGCGTGGCGCGCATCGGACAGGTAGAACGAGCGGACGGGTCATTAAGCGAGCCAATAACAAACTCGTGATCCACATAACCCTTCGTTACGTTCGCGGGTGCTATTAGCCCGTGCAAGGCAGCAATCATTGCCGGCGGGTAGGACTCGTTTTATAACGCGCCGAGGCAGGTCCCGGTTCGCGTCGTGCGAACTCATTATTTCCATTTCTTTCCGTCCCTCTTTCTTCCCGTCCATCCTCCTTCCGCTCCACGCTGCTCGCTCGGCAATGCCTTCCCCGATTCTCTTTTTGCCTCATCACAGTACCTTATGTAATGTCTCAGTTGCGTGTTTCCCCCGCGTGCAGCTTGTTGCGCCGATCAGCCGACCGTGTGCACACCTGTGCGCGACAGCACGCGACGAGCCCTTTACGTCTTTGGTAGAGCAGCGTGAGGTGCAATGCGAATTATCGCGGCATAACGAATCGAGAATTTTGCAAGTCAGGTCTCAGACGCAAACGGTGAACTCAGATTTTAAAAAACCAACGAAACGCCATTCGTATTAAGAAATACGTCAAATATTAATATTATTGCATGCACTTCAGAGAAATTAAACAGACTGAAGCTTCTAGTATGTTTGATGAATACAAAAAATTTGTAATTGGACTACAATTATATTTATATTCATTCAAAATTTTCACATTAAGAAAATATTTATTCAAATATTTATTCGAATTTGTGAGCTTTTAAAAATATCTATTCGTGAATATTTTATGATTTATTTATATTTATTCACACAAAATGTAAAATAGAAAAAAAGCGAAAAATAAATTTTATATATCGTTATTTATAATATCCAGATTTGATAAATAAAACTTACCAATTTTGAAAAAATTTCTAGAAAACATATTTTTTATTTAAAAGTATTTTATTTGCAATAATAACTCTTTTTATGATATATAATTTTTATTTTAATCTATATTTTTGCAAATCAAAAGATATAGTAAAATCGAACACCGCAATTCCGTATAGATTACAATAACAGTAATGTTAATTCTCTATTGTATAAGGTATCTTAAGCGCTTTAGCATCTCGTGGATACTAAATATTATTTCATTAATAGATTCCTCAGAATCCCCAATAAAAGCAATAGTCATTTTCTCCTCGGTATCATATCGTGCTTCCTAAACTTAAACCAAGTTCGAAGGCAGAATATTTTAGTATGTAGAGTGTGTAGAGTAGGAGTGAATGCGAAATCGAAAATATTCGTAATCATATTCACAAATATATTCATTCAAATCGCATAAAAAGTATTTATTAAATTTTTCATGAATATAAAAAAAGTAGTATTTATATTTGTATTCACATTCATTATTTATTCATTTATTCGAATATTGGACGTATTCATCGGACACAATAGAAGCTTCTAAATAGATTTTCCTCATGCTATGCTATGAAAATAAATACTAACAATAAATGCGAATGTTAAATAAAATGAATTATGAAATAAATTCGCTTGAAAACGCAATGTCTCTTAAAATACTTGACAATTTCCTGCTATATTAAAACATGCATAAAGATAATGTATATATGATGGAACATGATCGAGCGTCAGTTCATACGCGCGGTATTCCAGTCAACGATAATAGAAAGATCTGTTTCCATAATTAAGCATCGACGAGAGATTCTCCAACCGTTACCTCCCCGCATGCCCTTTTTCCCCCGGCATCGCGATATTGGCGCGTGCATTCATCGGCATCGCGAAGATTTACGATCGTTCCGTATTACTTATGCCCGGCGGGTTTATTAGCATGATTGGTCGCTCCGAGGATAGATCGTTGCGCAACCGGATCTCGGTTCTTTTGGTTAGGAGGGAGCTCGATATCTCGATCTTGTTGCCAGTACCTACGGCCGCGTGGTGGTTCGCCGCGAGCTCGAAAGAAGTCGTCGTTCCTCCAAGACGCCTGCACGTAAGCAGTTACTGGCGCTTCATCAGGAGCCCAACGACACTATTTGTAATTTGTTACGTGGGTCGCCTCGTTACGACCGGCTCTAAATCTTTCCGTAGCTGGCTGCCCACGGCGACAGGGGTCCACCCTCTCGCTAAGTACTGAGCCTTCGAGCGTAATCCAAACCTCGGCCCTTAATGAATTTTCTGATTTAATAAGAGACCGCGCGTGAATGCGACGAATCGACCGGCGACGAGAGAAAAATCGTTTCGCCAAATCGTATGTACATGTAAATTACTTGAGACACATTCGCCGCCATGTTTCATGCGTCGAATCACCTATGATAACGGCCGTCAAGTTTTCCAAATGTTATTAATTATCAAAAAGTTTAACGTGTGCAACGCAATTCGTATTTACTAAAGCAAAACGCGACGCTGTCAAATTAGTTTTAATGTACGAATTTGTTGTGCAGTATAATCTAAGCATTTATGTAGGAAAATATAGCATTGTGAGTGTATTTTACAGTTAAAATTTATTACATTTATAATTAAAAGGAGTAATTATCGTCGAGAACTACTTCCATTCAACAAAAGAAATTATTTAATGACTATTTGGTTCTCCAAAATGCCAAATATGAATACGCGACAAAATTCTCGAGGACTATGTGTATAAATACGTGATTGGTTATGAAATATGAGAGTTAATTAAGGAGCGACTTGCACGGGAGATTTGTTTCCCAACTCATCAGCCGTTTAATAATGCCGAAAATTTCTGACGATCAGGAAGGTCTGCGTATTCGCGTACGGATGTATAGTATCTACATACAGGATGGCGGCTTAGCGTCTCTCCCGACGTTTCTCCCGAAGTGCCCTGCATTCGCTTCTCTAATAACAATAATAATAAGAAGAGACGGAGGGCCGTTTTAATCAGAGGGTTCGTCCGCCTGACGTGATTAACTCGAAGGGCCGAGGAGGACTGAGGAAAGGGGCGCGGAAAAGGGCGGATGCCGCTGTCATTTCGCGGGTGTTTATCATATCAGCGAACTGAGGGGTTGCGTTTCATCGCGCCCGACCGGCGGATGGGGTTAAATCTTGAATTTCACGTGCGACTTGTACCTTCGTTCTTTGTTTCTTCCGGCGCCGTTTCGCTGACTGATTCTTTTACTTTGCTTTTCTAACATTTTATATTGTTCAAACGTGAAAATGTTTTCTTTTTATCTTCGTTATAGAAATATCTCGTACAAGGATAACGTAAATAATATGTGATATTAATTAGTCGAGCTTTGTCGACAAGTAGAAATAGTCAAAGCGGAATAGCACGAGCGGAAAACAGACTTTCGCTGCGGTCAAAAAACTTTCTTACACTAATATTTAAAAAAATTAAAAAATTTAACAGCTCGAAAACGTAAAACATTTTGCGCACTTTTAGAAACTTAAATTATATATATACATATATGTATTTTGTTTTATGATAAATACTTTCTATTTTTAAAAAGGTAATTTTACGATAGTAAGGAAAAAAGGCGGAAATGTGCGACAGCGCTTCTTTTTTTTTTGGAAGTCACATCTGTGGAATTCCGCAGAAGAAACTCTTTCATTCTCCCGTTTCTCTCACCCCAAACTCCTCTCGCTGATCTTACGTCTCGCGTTTCACTAAAGTCTAATTAACAAGATTTTTCTGTGAATGTACAAGAAGGCGCGTTCCAATGCCAACAAAGCGATATTAATGACATGATGATTGGGTTACTGGATATCTATACATACTATTCGTATTAGATTTTTTATTTACAGATATACAGGGCATCACAGTACATAATTCCTATTTCCACTTGAATCTATAAGATTCAGAGAAAAATTTACGTAACCACACTTGCACGGTACGAAGGAATTATATGGCGATAATAATTTTTATTCAAGTGGAAGCCTCGGTTTCAAGGTCAACTTTGTTTTTTTTTTTAATGGAATTGTATAATTTTTTTACATAACATGTAAAAAAATTCCTTTAATTATTCTGCATATAAAAAGTACTAAAGGTAAAGTTTTCGAAAAATCAGTACTTCCTAACTGAGATACTCAAGAAGTATTCTTTGCTTATATTTCATACTTTTTCATGCCATTTTCGACTTAAAATATGATATATCTCGTAAATCACGATAAGATGAGCCAATTTTTGTAAATTATAAATTAATCAAGAGATTCAATACGTAACTATTCAATACGTAGGTATTAAGATAATAAAAATTAATAGACATATATAAAAAGAAGTTCTTATAGTTAAAACACAAAAGAAAAAACACAATGCTTTGCAAAAAAATGTTATTTTTATATTTTTTTCAAAGCAACTATGTTTTCTTTACATCAATCGATACATCTTATTAGATGGTGTATAAATGTATTAAGGTACAATTAACAAGAATTCAACAATTTACGATAATCTAGCTAGAGGAAATTGATAATTTATATTGTAATTGTTTTTTATTTAGAGTAATCTCATTTTTTAAAATTACAACATTTTAATTTAACATATCGTAATGATGTTTTTCAAAATTAACTTTAATTTAACTTAAATTAATTTAATCTTAATGCTTACTTTTAATTGAGTTAGATTTTTATTTATGCAACTTTTAACTTAACTAAATTAATTTTATATGTCATTAACTTTAACTTAATTTAGTTTAAAAAAATTAACTTCCTCAACCCTGATCAATTTTAATGGGGTCTTCTTGTAATTTAAATGCAGATTACTGTAGCATTATGATTGTTTAAATGTAAAGATTTCTTCTATGTGTCTATTTATTTTTGTTATCTTAACCCTAGGAGTACACACTCTTATTTTGCCTACATAAAGTACTTGGGTCTCGAGGACCCCATCCATACTTGTTATTGTAACTCCAGCAAAAATAAACTTATTTTAATTAATTTTTTTTTCAGTCGATAGAGAATTGATCAAGAAACAAGTCTATAATTGATAAAAGTCGATAGAATTAAGGAGTTCCAAGATATACGGATTCAAAGAGAAAGGAAAGTTCATAAACGCGAAAAAATCTTGATTTAGCACCTTTTTCAAAAAATCATATTTTTTTTGTTTTATAGCCCGATTTGAAAAATCCTTGAAAATTCTGAAAGAGCATACTTGAATTAGTAATAAAAAAAATTTGGCGATCCGACATTTTAATTTTTTAACAAAACTGCAAGTCCCGAGGCCCCTACGCTTACTTCAACTGTTCACTGCTCGGTTGTTGAGTGACAATTGCCGCGCGTCAACATGTCTTTCTACTGAGGAGATCCCAATCTTTTTTTACGTCAATATCCCAAACCCCTCCCCTTTCAATTTCGGAAATGCCAAACCGAGAAAACTGAGCTGGGGTCCCTGGGACCTTCAGTGTGTATTTCTAGGGTTAATACAGCCATGTATTGCATCTTTTGATTAATTTATAATTCACGAAAATTTACTCATCTTATCGCGATTTATATTAAAATAAACGTGAATCGTAAAGCTATTGTATACAAGAATATATTTTCTTGTTTGGATGATAATGAAATTAAAAATGATGACCTGGGAGAAATTTTATATATGCAAAGAGATAGAAGAATTGGAAAAATATTAAGAGATGAGATTCATCTGGTCATTACGTAGCGCGATTTATTATAAGTTCCAGCATTTTAATTGAAATTAAATTAAAAGTATTATTAATAGTAAAAGCATTCTAAAAAGATATTTTATTAACAAATTATTGCGCAAATCGTATTTCATTTCAATATTACCACAAAATTAACAGAATTAAATCTAATAATTTTATAAATGCTGAAATTCGTCTTTCGCGGTATCAGTGATATTGCAGTGAATATTGTTGTGGCTGATTGTCACGACATCGAATAAGCAACCTCGAACAAAAAAATAATATGATGCACCGCGGTGCTGTCGTGAGACATGAGAAAAGGTTTGTTATCACAATATTATTTTGCGGAAAATTAATAACTTTTTCGTTTTTGTTAAGATCTATGAACATAAAAATTTTTACATAATGTATTTACACAGGACAGATCAAACATACTACATGCGAGGCAATAGTTTAGTGATAACCGACACGTGCAAGAGAGAAACATAATACAACTAACTGTAAGTCTCTCTTTTCCTTCTAACAAAAGATTATTCCTTATATAATAGAGAAAGAGATTAGTTACGCTTCTCTCTCCTCTCGCACACGTCTCGATCAGGTCTCGTGCTCGGTTTATCTATACTATGTCTATGCGTTTATCTCTACTGGTCTTCTTTTGCGTAGTTGCTAAAAAATAATAATATCAGTGATAAACATAAATAACGTAGATAAAAAAGTGCACGCTCACGTATTTAAAGAGATTATTGTTCTGTTTCTAAGTACACATGCATGTTCGATATATAAACTAAGCGGTTATCGAAATGACACTTTGAGTCACTGAGTTGACTGCGCTGATATGTGAAGATACTGTTTAGAGACTGTCTAGAATCTACATACTGTAAAACTGTCTAAAGTTCAAGAGTATTTTCCTTTCTCAACATTTCTATATATAATACATTATTTCTACATACACGAAATTCTTAAGTAATAAATCAAAATGAGAAAACTGATCCTTTGCTTTGTGCTCTTCGCAATAACTTCAGTTTTGACTCAGGAAAACTGTGCTGGATTCCTTCAGCGAGTAAGTATCGTTGTAATACACAAAAAAAATAATTCTATTATTAGTGGAATCCGCTAAATCTTAGAGGATTTTATTCTTGTACTTATATGGTCTCAAGAGGAATCCTCTGAAATTAAGAGGAAAATATTCTGTCCATAATATTCTAATAGTTAGAATAATTACGTCTTGCATTACACAGTACAAGTCTTGTACGGTAAATTTCTATTTATAATTCACATTATTATTATACTGTAATTTTTCAGTATTTGCAATAAATAACGGATCGCAGCTTTACTGCGTCTATGTTTTCGCAAATACAGCGCAACACTTCAATTAATTGTCATAGCAGAACGCAGCGATATACATTGCTTTTCGTGTTACTTGTATCGCACGTAAGAGGGCATTCCGTTTGAAATAAACATATTCCTCTTAATGCAAGAGGAAAACCGAAAAATAATATCTAATAGATTTTAAATGAACAGTTCACTTTATTGGAAGAGAAATACTCTTTCTGTAAAAGTTTTCGCTTAGAATATGGGATTAGAGGAAATTTCATTTTATAAATAGAATATTTTTTTGGGTGTAATATTACGTTAAAACTGTAATATATGTATATTCAAATCTTTTATTAATTTATGTATTTATATCGATCAAATTATTTAATATAACTTAATATATGTTTTTAGTAATAAATTCTGTGTAATTTAGATGACATAAAATTGACAAGTTACATAAAGGTCACTGCACAATTTATGAAATAATATAATATGAAATATATTTATATGAAAAAAAAACCGTTTTCAGTCAGTTTGCTTGAATTTTTTATATTTGTAGTTCTCCCTAATAAAATTTGTTTGAATTTTTGATATGTATAATTCTTGGATCTTTGATAAAAAAACCTCAATTTATAGAACATTTCTATGTTTGTTATAGTCCTGAATTAAAAATATTTGAAATCCTTTTTTATGAGATCTGTTCCGTATAGTTTACTTGTACGAGTTTACAATTGTGTGCTGTCCACATATGTATATCGATATGTTACCGTCAAAACCCGTAATTGTTGAAATCCGACTTTACTAGTTAAAATTAGTTTTAAATTTAATTGAAACGGAGTCTATAATTTTACTGTCCACATAGATTTTCGATTTTACATCTAATCATTCATTCTAGTTTTAACTAGTGAATTCGGGTTTTAACGGATTATGGATTTTGACGGTAACAGATATATGTATATGAATGTCTCAATGACTGCGCGCGCGTAGTCATCGCAGACATTCACGTATACCGATATACATATGGACAGCACACATATGTAAACTTGCGTAAGCACGAACAGATTTCATGGAAGAGAAGTTCAAATATTTTTAATTCAGAAATTAGTCATAGAGAAATGTTTTGTACATTGAGATTTTTTATTAGAGAGAATTACAAATATCAAAAATTCAAGCAAATTGACTGAAAACGTTATTTTCATATAAATTGTGCGGGGTCCAAAAGTACAATCAATATAAGAAACACAATGATATTTAATCTACTTTAGATTGTTATTTATATTTTATAACTGGACAGGGTGTCTGGTTCTTAATAGTAAAGCGCTTGTGGACAGGTAGAGTGGGCTAAACTAAGTCGAAAAGTCCTCTACTATTTTGCTATCTTCGCAATAATTATCGAGATATTAATTTATAAAGATTGCCGAATGTGAACGCGCGACGAGATATGACCGCCCACCGCGGACTGCGGTCATCTAGCGCACGGCGCGTGATAGAGGTAATTGTTGTAATCGATCTTTATAAATTAATATCTCGATATATATTACGAAAATCGCAAAATGGTACAAGATTTTTTTGCTCAGTTTAGCCCACTGTACCTGCCTGTTTACATGTATAATTTTATGTATACATGTAAGCAATATATATTTAATACAATTATACATGTATATTACATGTATAATTATATTAAAGTTATTCACAATTAAGTGGAATAAAGAAAGAGTAATAGATATTTTTTAATAAAATGTCAAATTTTAAATATTTTAAATAGTGAAAATATGTATAACAAGATTTGAATATAAATTATAATAAACAATTTTTTTATAAATATATGAAAAATATGGATTGGCAAAGTGCATTAGTAAATTAAATAATTAAAGCATGTGATACAATGTACATTATGCAAAACCATAATTTCGCATAATCTTTTTCAGTGTAACGATACCAATACTTGTTGCCGCTATTTTACTTGCCAACCAAATGCTATATGCTGGTTCACTCCTCCTCCTCCTCCGCCAATTTTTTCAAAAAGAAAAAAGTGACTAGAAGAACCTATCGAATAATTATAAATTATAGCTCAACTTTTCTGTAGAGAGAAAAACATTTGATAAAATATTTAAGTTCAATGCATGTTAATCAATTTTAATGGAGTCTTCTTGTAATTCAAATAAAGGTCACGGTGGTTGTTTAACTATAAAGACTTTCTCTTATATGTGCCTCTTACATGTGTTTATTTATTTTTATTATCATAATACAGTTATGTATTGAATCTTTTGATTAATTTATAATTCACAAAGATTTACTCATCTTATTATGATTTATACCGAGATTAACATGAAGTTATCTTATATACAAGAATATATAATCTTCCTGTTTTGATGATGATAAAGTGAAAAATGATAGCTTTGGAGAAGTTTTACGTATGCAAAGGAAAAGAATTGGAAAAATAATTAAGAGATGAAATTCCTATAACATTACATAGCGCGATTTATTATTAGTTCTAGTATCTTAAATGAAATTAAAAGTATGATTATTAGCAAAAGCATTCTAAAAAGATATTTTGTTAATTTATTGCACAAATCATATTTTAATAAACTGGGTAAACTGGGAGATCCGAGTTCGATTCCCGGCATGGGAGCTGAGGTAATATTTTTTGCAATATTCTTTACAGATTGGGGTATGAGATTCTTACAGATGCTTATTAGCATCAAAAATATTAAATTATTTAACAATTTAATTCGTTACAGTGGCTTCATATAAGAACTGTGTTTCAAGATATATGTACAATATATACGGCGTACAGTTTATGTGGCTTGATATTGCAACAGTAAAAATTATTACACACCAACATCCGTGTCGGCTCGCAAAGGCATTAAGCTATTTATGATTTATTCATATTTTAATGTTTACAAAATTATTGATTATTATTAATTAATGTTATATTAAATCAATTTTGATAAACGTGAGAATTATTATAAAATAATAATTCTCACTAGCTATCTCTGCACTAAGGATCTTTGAATATAACATAATTAAATCTAATACATTTTAAATGCTGAAATTCATCTCTTTCATCAGTGATATTGCAATGAATATGTTGTGGCTAATTGAAACGATATCAAAACATATAAATATAAATAAAGAAGTAATGTAATGCACCACAATGCTGTTGTGAATCACGAGGAAAGGTTTTTATTATCGCAATATTTTTTGCGGAAAACTTATAACTTTTTCGTCTTAGTTAAGATCTATGAACACAATGAATACAATGAACACAAAAATTTTTACATAATGTATTTACACAGGACAGATCAAACATACATATTGCGAAGCAATAGTTTAGTGATAACCGACGCATGCAAAAGAGAAACGTAATACAACTAACAATAAGTCTCTCTTTTCCTTCTAACAAAAGATTATTCCCTGTATATTAGAGAAAGAGATTAGTTACTCTTCTCTCTTCTCTCGCACACGTCGATCAGGTCTCGTGCTCGGTTTATCTATACTATGTCTATGCGTTTATCCCTACTGGTTTTCTTTTGCGCAATTCCTAAACAATAATAATATCAGTGATAAACATAAATAGCGTAGATAAAAAAGTGCACGCTCACGTACTTAAAGAGATTATTGTTCTGTTTCTAAGTACACATGCATGCCCGATATATAAACTGAGCGATTGTCGAAATGATACTTAGAGTCACTGAGTTGACTACATGTGAAGACAGTGTCTAAAGACTATTTAGAATCTACATACTGTAAAACTGTCTAAAGTTCAAGAGTATTTTTCTTTCCCAACATTTCTATATACATTATTTCTACATACATGAAATTCTTAAGTAATAAATCAAAATGAAAAAACTGATTCTTTGCTTTGTGCTCCTTGCAATGACTTCAATCTTGGCTCACAATCAGACAAGTTGCATTGGACCCAATGAGTATGACGCAAGTATCGTTGTAATAATATTATGTTAAAACTGTAATATGTGCATATTTAAATCTTTTATTAATTTATATATCTATATCAATCAAATTATTTATTGCAATATATAATAATTTAATAATATGCGTTTTTGATAATAATTTCTATATAATTGTGATGCCATAAAATTGATAAGTTACATAAATTTTCGGAAGTATTATCAGTGTAAGAAACACGGTGACATTTAATCTACTAGATTGTTATTTATATTTTATATATTTACATTTATATTTTTGCGTTAATCTGGTATATTAAAATAGAAAAAATTAGAGGAAATAAGGCCAATTAACGAACAAACACAGATGTTGTAATACAATTATATAATTTTATTCAGTAAAATTTAAGCAGGGTGACCAAGGTCTGTAAAGCGCAATACATAGCCTCTCTACAATAGCCTCTCAGAGACAAATGTCTCAACCTCACCTTCCAGTGACAGACATTGTTTATAACAAACGAGGACATGGCGACCTAGTGCCTGAGGACAGTCAAACTACCCATGCCTTAAGAGGAAACAAATTTGGAGGTCTGATTCTTCAGGTTGGCAATTGGGCGCTAGGCCAACAACCTGGCCACGTCAAATACATATATTAAGAAACCAGAAGCGAAGCCTCGAATAAGACGGTCACAACTGAGACAACTTGGCAATCAAAACATGGATCTGAATATGGAAACTTGTAACATAAGAAATTTATATGAAACAATGAGGAGCCTGGGGTGGAGGAACTAACTCAACTAACAAAGTGTAAGATCCAAATCCTAACACTGCAAGAAACTCGATAGAAAGGCAATAACTTGTTGAGTGTGGGTGATTACAACTTACTCTGCGATGGACAAAGACACGCTTTTGGAGTTGGCTTTGCTGTACACAAGAAACTTCGTAACATTATTATGGAATTTGGATCAATAAATGAAAGGATATGCTTAATTAGAATCAGAACTAAATTCTTCAACCTAGCACTGGAAGGAGCCATAAGAGGAGTCGGAGTGGATATAAGAGGGGATCTCAGTTATAAATTCAAATAGCTGATATATGCAGATAATATCAACTGTCTGGCGAGGTCAACGCATGGACGCAATAAGATCTTTAAAAACCTGGAGATATAATCAGCAAGGGAAATAGGATTGCAAGTCAAAGAAAATAAAACTAAAATGTTAATCATAAAAGAAAAAGAAAAGAAAAAGTGGACAAAAAATTTTCTTTGATAATTACAACTTTGAAGGGGTACAATAATTTAAATATCTATTAGGATCTATAATGTCCGTAGACAATGATGAGACGAAAGACGTGCTGGCAAAAATTAAGGCAACAAACAAAAGATATTACGTTATTCCCGATGATGAAATCCAAACGTACATAGGAGACGTGCATAGGAAAATCATGCTCTACAAAACATTAATACGTAGTGTTATTACGTATGGATGTGAAACATAGGCGATCACGCGGAAATCACAGATGATCTAGACACTTTCGAGAGAAAAATATTACGAAGAATACCTATACGGGCCAGTATGGGAGGCTTATAAACGGAAGAATAAGGTATAATCATGAGATATACAGAGCATCTAAGCTATGAGAACATATAAGTATAAGGAGACTTATTGTTAGATGTGCCAGGCATATGCAACGTCTTGAAGACACTAGAATACCATAAAGAATTCTGACAAATCTGCAAACTTTAATGAGAATTGCCCGAGGTAGAGATCAAGGGCGAGAAGAGAGGATGAAGTGACTGAGGATGTGAGAAGACTGCTGGGTATCAGGAACTGGAGGTGATATGTGAATGATCGAGAGGAATGGAGGATTAAATTTCGGGAAGCCATGACTCGATCTTGAGTAGTGCCATTGAAGAAGAAGAAGAAAATTAAAGCGGAACGTTTTGACTTTACTAAATTAATTGTTTTCGACTATTGACATTGTTAAAAGACGTTAACCAAGAGCCGGACTAAAGAGAATCTCGTAGTTGTCGGCCCATCAGTAATCGAATCTAACTATCAAGGATTGTCAAGGGAAAAGATAAACAGCGATAACTTTGAACAACAACTTGGTTATAAGTTTTAGAGACATTGTGACTCACATCGGAAAGAAAATGTTGTGTGTTCTCCAGCTAGGATTAATGTAATTAATTATAATTTGAAAATTTATATTGGCGGTTAAAGAATAGTAAAGTTGAAAACTTGAAACATTACACTTTAATTTTAGAAGATAAGATTATATAATTATATTACTTCTGTTTGTTCGTTTATTGGCCTTTATTTCTTCTAATTTCTATTTTATTCTAAAATATAAGCCAATTATAATTTTTTACTGGTATATTAAATCTATTCTCCATATATCTTATATCTCTTTACTCCGAGTTATTTACAAGTGGAATAAAGAAAGAATAAAAGGTATTTTCGAATAAAGTATCACAATTTATATATTTTAAGTAATGAAAATATAACGAGATTTGAATGTAAATTATAATAATTTTTTTTATAAATATGTGAATAATATGGATTGAAAAAGAGCATTAGTAAGTTAAATAATTAAATCATATGGTATAAAAAACATTATGCAAGATCATAATTTCGCATAATTATTTCCAGTGCACGCGTTATCCTTGTTGTAATGGATTGAGATGCATAATACCCTTTGTGGGACCAGGTGGTTTTTGCTCGACGGATAACTTGTAAAAAAATTAATTTAAATGAATTGAAAATTTAATTTCTGTCAATTTATTTTAATTTATCCGAATTGACGCTTTAGAGTCCGGAGGTGCATTTATGTCCCTATATTATTTTATATATATCATTTTTGGATTTTAATAAATTGAAATACGAAATGAGCTATTCATCATGTTGAACTCGGATGTATACTCATGTCCGTATTATTTTTGTATTATTATGTATTTTATTCAAATAGATTTGAAAAATCAAAAGCGCCAATTCGGAAATGTCGAAATGAATTCATTTCTAACCATTTAAATTCATTTTTGTTTGCTGGGTTTGTAACCTCTAAAAAAATGGAAGAAATATTAAAATAATCTGGCAGACTAGAGAGAAGAAAGTGAATCAGAAGAACATGTCGAATCATTTTAAAATAAAATAAAAACAATACCA